GTGTCAGCTACTAGACCAACTACACCACATGTGAATCTTGAAGAAGAAGAGTTTTCCAACAATTTTGAAAGATAAAAATTACTAACACCTTGCCTTTATTTAAAAAAAAAAAAAAAAAAAAAAAAAAAAAACTGCAGAATGATCAAATCAGACGTTCAAGCCAAAACAATGTTAAATTATTTTAAAAATTATTTTGCTTAATCACATGTTTAGGTTTGGTGAAAATGTAAGTAATAATAAGAGCTTAAAATGAGTTCAGATATACTAATTAATGTTTTTTTAATATGGAAAAAAAACAAGGCTAGTGAATTAGTTCCCTTTTTTAAAGAAATTGGACAAAATAGGCATATGTCTTCAGAATTCTTATACAAAATTGCTAAAGATCTGTCCTAAAACAAATAGTAGAATAATCTCATCTGTGAGTTTCTTGACCAATGCAAATATCATGATGAATAGTCCCTGTCAAGATCATGTCCATAGCTCTTCCTGTCTAATAACATAATCTGTTAATGTCTTAGCTGCTTTCTGGCTCATGTGTCTTCCTTGTCTATGGAGACATCTTCCCTTCCAAATATTGGATTTTTTTTAAACATAGTATAACATAATCATGTTAGGCTCTTGAGTGCACAAAATGTTGCTAGATAAATTTGTATCAAACAAAATTTTATCATATTGCTATCTTAAAATTTCCAAATCAAAAACAGCAGTTCGTTATCGCCTTACTTAATTTTAAAATCTACATATCGTAATACCCTAACCAATGAAACCATTGTCAATCACCTTAACTAACCTTATGACAGCCTATCACTCAAACAACTGTTAATCCAATAACAGCACAGAATGCCAAGACCTATCACTTGGAATAACATCTGGGAATTATTCAATATGTATCACCTTCTTGATGGGATCTTTTTTTACTCAAAGACTGGCTGAATGGTGAAAACAGAATACAAAACACTAACTAAATTCTACAAACCACAAACTAAATAAATGAAAATATACGAATTAAAGAAAAATATCACAATAATACACAAAAATAACTATAACTTTAATAAGGGAACCAGTGATGCTCCATTTTAATCTGATATACATGTATATGAACTATGACAAACTGCAGTAGTAGTGAGCACACTCAGCAATAAAAGGTTGAGCTTTGCTCTTGTACTACAGCAACTACAATTTGATAATGTATCGTATCTATTTGCACAATATAGCAAAATAACAGTTAATTTTTTTCTGTTAAAATCAACCTAAAACCTGAGAGACTGAATTACTTTTATTTGCTGCACTGCATTTACAGGGTTGTCTTCAGAGAAGGGATAAATTTTTATCTCCACTGACGCAATGTCCTCAAAAATAGGAGTAAAAATTTGGCTCAATCTACAACACATTAAAAACACTAAACAGTAAATTACTTTGACAAAGAAAAATATAATATTTTCATTAATTCAAAATGAGCATTTTTATTTTCTGGCAGGCAATTTGCATGATCCCTGTAAATAGCAACTGGGTTAATTAACAGTGAAAAACAGCTTTTTTCATAGTCTGTGATCTGTGGTAATTACTGCAGTCATTTACAGAAGACTTTGCTCTCTAAGACCTATTAAATCATTACCTGTACTTGAACAGCTTTAGATGGTTTACTTTAGAGAAGCAGTCTGTTTGAAAGAAAAAAAAAACTTAATAGCTTGATTACTATGTAAGAGAGTCATCAAAACAGAACCTCTGCACTTGACATGGCCAATTAAGTAACTGAAAAAGGAACAATCACTTTATAACACTTATAAATGCATGATATGATACTTCTAGTCATTTGTAGTTGTTTTCTGCACATTTTGATCACTTAGGACCTTAACTGCTACACAGAAAAGAAATGGTCACCTAAAACAAGTTGAATTTCCAAGTTCTAGTTTTGTTTACTTTTTAAGACCTGTAATTTAGCAAGGAATCATCATCATCAAGTATATTTTGTTTACTACATGGGCGTAACTAGGCATACGCACGGATGCACTGTGCGTACAATTTTTTGAGCCAATCATGATATTATTCTCTATAAATTTAGTGTATTTTTCACGAAAAATAATCGAAAATCCTCTTCGATTGCAAGTTAGAGTCACCTGAATGTACAAATCTTCTGTATGAATCGTATACGCACCATTGTTCTGACGCCCCCCGTCTCGTTTGCTTTCACAGAACTGAGGTAAATAAACAATACTAGCTACCTCCAGAAGTCCTATCTTCCTTTGCCTCTTAATTGGAGGCATTCAGCCCTTCAACTCTCAGGTAGCCTTTGTCTTAAGTGTGTCGAATGCACACTCGCTGGCGAGATTTATCTCAGATAAAAATCTACCTGTGTTATTTTCAAAGAGCAGCTCCAGCAGACCTGGGGACATTAGATAAAATCTGGACAATGNCCTGATTGTTATAATAATTTCTGTTGTAACTCTTAAACTCAAACTGGAGCACATCATCAATCACTAATTACTAGGAGTTTGTGTTTCCTTTCAAGCCATGGTAAAAAAACTCCAAAAGAATCAACATTTTCTGGTTGCTTATTAGCATCGGAGACAGTGTTAGATAACATCCTTTCTTTCAGCACATAGATGTCCATTTTCTGACCTCTCATATTACTCATACCTTACCTGGTGCGTAATCAACTTGAACACTGCAAAATTTAATTTTAAGATATTAGTTTTTTAAAACTTGATCAGTGCTAAGTACGACAGATATTAATTTCTTTTAGGCACTGTTCAGTCACTCACAGATATTAGTACTGTGAACAAAAGCTTTCATTGTGATAACCCGCAGTCTTCATTTCTACTTACTTGGCTTTTATCTTTGGAACAGCATGTTTTAATTGCAGGTTGTAAAAAGAATTTTTATTTCCTTGCATCACATATTTTAATATATAGAAATACAACTGGACAGTAAAATTATTGAGCCCCATAAGAAGGGGTCATTCAGAATAGAAAATTCGAGTATCAACTGATCCAAGGATCAAATATGGCAGACCCTACATGAAAGGAAGACTGCTTAATCCTGTAATGGTCTCTCTGCCTCTCACACGCCTCCCTACGCGTTGTCCCTGCAATTAAATCTCGGCTCCGTTCTACCGGATGCGTGGGGAAAATCATAAAATCTGCCAATTGTAAAATCTGTGGGTGACTGGGAAAGTGATGTCATCTATTGTTACATCAATTCTATCCCGCTGACAGCTGCTTTTAAGCCTGCCCGTGTGTTATTTTAATATATATCTGCGCATCCACGATACTGGCTAACAACAATTGGTTATCATCTTTTACCCCATTCACACTACAGTTGCAAAAATGCACATTTCCATAATTCGTTTCTATTTTCGTGAGGAATCCGATTCGGTATTGCGTTCACACTCGCGAAGCAAAACCGAATCCCACATTAAAAATTTCAGGTTTAACTTCCTGTTTTGAACACTCATGCATGCGCCGCACAGGAAAACTCAAAATACCAACAAAAAAGTATGACAGCAAATGTATCTCAAAAAGACATTCCAGCATTCTTGGGAAGCATAAGATGGCATAATAAGTTTGTTGCCTCATGTTGTAGTGAGTGGTGACCTCCAAATACGTTTGGTGCAATCGCTAAAGTAATAAACAAGCGTTCATAGATACCCGCACTCATCTGCACACATGCGCAGTAAGATCTGTACAGGTGTCGATTCTGGTAAGTTATTCGGATCGCGCTTAGAAATCCACCTCGCTTGCAGGATTTTGAAAATTCGCATTACAGAAATCCTCTTGCGTTCACACTACTGCATTTATTTGAATTGTGACCTAATTCGCAACTTATCCGAATAACTGAGCATAGTGTGAATGGGGTATTTGAAAGTCTGTCCAAATATTCATATGTGTTGGATTACAATTGGGGTACTTTCATGTGAAAAGGGATGGATTTTTCTTATTATATAACAAACAATTTTGTGCTTCCAAACATTGCTGTGTATTTTAAACTTTTAAATTTTTACCTGAAAATGACACTAAAACAACACCTGGGACACAGACATACCAGTCTGTTTTGCAGCTGTATATTGTGAAAAAGAAAGCTCTCAGAATAGTATTGTCATATTTTTCTGGTCATCTCAGGGATCGGCAAACACACTAGAGAAAAACAAAAACTGCTCTTTGTCGCAAATTTTGCTGGGTGAAAATAGAAAAAAACGAGTTGTTGTTTGTTACTATCGTTTTTGTTTTTAACTTCAGTACAAACTGTTATCTCCTATACACATGAACTATACAAATCATTTAATTTCAGGATTTAAATTCCTGAAATGCACTCTGCTTTTTACAAAACAACGTGTAAGGAAACCCTGTCATCTGAGCATGTTTTCACAGATGTTATGAACCAATCCCGTTTTGTTTCCTTCAGACTTGCATGACAGCGAAACTAAAGCTAGGGTGTAGTTTCGTTTCCCCATACAGATTCGGCCCAAGGCATAAAAATAGTGGATATTTCCATTGATGACTTTATGACCAGGCCACATGTATATTAAATGAGACTAATTAAATTAGCTATAGCCAGTCCCCACTTTTTGGCATGTAATTCACAAAAAAATATTTCATGTCATCACTGCTTAACCGCCGATTCAGGATTGCAGCATGCTTTTCCAACTCTGTGAAGTTAAGTGTGCTCTTCCCTGAGCATTTTATGTGTTTAATGTTACATTTTCCAAACATTATGAATATAAAACAAAATACGTTGCATATTTTTAATAGATATGTTAAAAATCAGTTTCTCAAAAAAAAAAAAAAAAAAAAAAAAAAAAAAAAAAAATTCACCTTTCTGTAACTATGTTCATTTTAATTCAACAATTAATGAGAAGGAAACATACTTTTCTGGTCTATATCTCAATGAATAAACTCGGGTTTTGAAATGAAATGTCAGCAAAATAAGAGTCTAAGTTTACATAAACACTCTCTGATAAAGGAGCTACTCACTGTCAAACAAAACAAAAAAAGCATATTTACCAGTTACGATGGACACCAATGTTCCGTTGTCACTTGATGTATTATTTCTTTACTTCAAATCCTGAAAACGAACAAATTACACCATTACTGGAACTTCAATCTGAGGGTCACTGAAATTTCCAAATCAATTATATCTAGTGTGTAAACAATGTAGGAAACTTTTTCTAAAAATAAAATTAAATATTACTCATTTGTCAAGTAACAGAGTATTAACATAAACTTTTCTGTATATCTCTTGTAATTTGTCTATATCTACTACCCTATATGTATATTAACTATCAGCACGTTCAATGTAGGTGGTGGTAACCACAAAATTAAAAAAAATAATGTTTCTTAACCTACTTCATAAACACACATCACATTCCTGTCCTCAACTCCTGTACAAACATTGCAGAAAGAAAACATTACAGTAACAAGCACCATACCTTAACATATGACTTGTTGATTCCAATGAAATCAATTTCATTAAAAAATATAAATTACATTAATTCCAGTATAGTTTTTCACCAATACTTAACCAATCATCCAAAATACGAACCAATTACCACATGGAATCAACACGTTATTCTTTTGTCAGTCACATGCAATGGAATACCTACAGATAACTGCTTCTAAGAAAACCGTCTTTCGTCTGCTGAACGCAAGCTTGTATAATGAATGACCTTTGCAGAACACTGTTTATGCCGTCATTTAGCTGCTTTAATGATGGCCTCAAATCAATCCAAAACCCTCCAATAAGGTTTCTGAAATGACGTCAATTTTCACTGCCTCTGCTTTACAGCTTGTCATTATCATAATGCCAAACAACTTTCCTCTGTCCTATAATGTTTCTTAATGTGATAGCAACACACATGCTATGGGCATCAGTGGATGCTTTCCTCTGAATGCCAGATATTGATACAGTAAAAGCTATCAACTGATGCCTATCTCACAACCTATGGAATGTCTCCAAATATCAACAGCTCAATACAACTTTAAAAAAAGAACAATGGAGAACAGTAGAACAGGCATTTTTTCTTCATGTTTATGATGACGCATTAACATGAAAGATCTTATAGAATATCATATATATAACCTATTTATCTTACTATCATTTTCAGGAAATTGTATACATCTGTTTACCAACTGTTAATCTTGGTGAAAAAATTAAATTACTATGAAGATGGGAGGAGGGATTCCAAAAGTAATTTTTTCAATTTGATAAGTTTACTCACCAGCAATATTAAAAACACTTTGAAAAGCCCAAAACAGATAAGGTAGGGCAAAAATCTGTTCTAGATATAGCAAAATAAATAAATAAATAAAATTAAATTAAAAAATCCAGTAAAATTTAACAATTTTCCAATAATCAGCAAGGTATACCCTATCTTAAACCATTGAAAAAAAATACAGACCTATAAAACCATTTTTTGAGCCTTATATCAAACATTGTCCAAAATGCCTTCTAAATTTTTGTAAAGTCTCAAAAGCTACTCATGAATGAAGTATTGTTGCGACATAGATGCTGCTTTCAGTTCCAAGATTCAGATGAAGTATTGTTGGGAATGTAGTGCTAATATAGGTAGAAATTAAGAAAATGGTAACCACTCCAGTGAGAAGAAGAATGCAGAAAATGGCAAGAGGGCAAGAGCACTGGTAACCTGCATTTTACCATTCACCTAAGTTTATAGGGAAAATGTAGTTTGGCAGTCATATTGTAAACAACAGATGTGTCATGAGAGTAACAGCAACAACATATACAGACACAGTACTCAGAACACACAGACACACAATACATGGCATTTACATGTTTCCTGGCCACCAAACTACAAATTGGGACGCAAAATGTGCAAATCAAAGTACTATTGGTTATTCAGAGATACCTCAATAACAGGAAGAGTGTGTCAGCTACTAGATCAACTACACTGTGTGTGCATCTAGAAGAAGGGTGACAGCAACAACATATACAGACACAGTACTCAGAATTAACACATGCACACAATACATATGGCATTTGCATGTCTTTCTGACTACCAAACTACAAATTGGGACGCAAAATGTGCAAATCAAAGTACTATTGGTTCTTCAGAGATATCTCAATAACAGGAAGACTGTGTCAGCTACTAGACCAACTACACCGCATGTGAATCTAGAAGAAAGGTTTTCCAGCAATTTTGAAAGATAACAATTACTAACACCTTGCCTTTATTAAAAAAAAAAAAAAAAAATGCAGAATGATCAAATCAGACGTTCAAGCTAAAACAATGTTAAATTATTTTGAAAATTATTTTGCTTAATCACATGTTTAGGTTTGGTGAAAATGTAAGTAATAATAAGAGCTTAAAATGAGTTCAGATATACTAATTAATGTTGTTTTTTTAATTTGGAAAAAAAAAAACAAGGCTAGTGAATTAGTTCCCTTTTTTAAAGAAATTGGACAAAATAGGCATATGTCTTCAGAATTCTTATACAAAATTGCTAAAGAACTGTCCTAAAACAAATAGTAGAATAATCTCATCTGTGGGTTTCTTGACCAATGTAAATATCATGATGAATAGTCCCTGTCAAGATCATGTCCATAGCTCTTCCTGTCTAATAACATAATCTGTTAATGTCTTAGCTGCTTTCTGGCTCATGTGTCTTCCTTCTCTATGGAGACATCTTCCCTTCCAAATATTGGATATTTTTAAAACATACAGTAGTATAACATAATCATGTTAGGCTCTTGAGTGCACAAAATGTTGCTTGATAAATTTGAGTCAAACAAAATTTTATGATACTGCTGTCTTAAAATTTCCAAATCAAAAACAGCAGTTCGTTATCGCCTTACTTAATTTTAAAATCTACATATCGTAATACCCTAACCAATGAAACCATTGTCAATCACCTTAACTAACCTAATGACAGCCTATCACTCAAACAACTGTTAATCCAATAACAGCACAGAATGCCAAGACTTATCACTTGGAATAACATCTGGGAATTATTCAATATGTATCACCTTCTTGATGGAATCTTTTTTTACTCAAAGACTGGCTGAATGGTTTAAACAGAATACAAAACACTAACTAAATTCTACAAACCAAAAACTAAATAAATGAAAATATACGAATTAAAGAAAAATATCACAATAATACACAAAAATAACTATAACTATAATAAGGGAACCAGTGATGCTCCATTTTAATCTGATATACATGTGCATGAACAATGACAAACTGCAGTAGTAGTGAGCACACTCAGCAATAAAAGGTTGAGCTTTGTCCTTGTACTGCAGCAACTACAATTTGATAATGTATCGTATCTATTTGCACAATATAGCTAAATAACAGTTAATTTTTTTCTGTTAAAATCAACCTAAAACCTGAGAGACTGAATTACTTTTATTTGCTGCACTGCATTCACAGGGATATCTTCAGAGAAGGGATAAATTTTTATCTCCACTGACGCAATGTCCTCAAAAATAGGAGTAAAAATTTGGCTCAATCTACAACGCATTAAAAACACTAAACAGTAAATTACTTTGACAAAGAAAAATATAATATTTTCATTAATTCAAAATGAGCATTTTTACTTTCTGGCAGGTAATTTGCATGATCCCTGTAAATAGCCACTGGGTTAATTAATAGTGAAAAACAGCTTTTTTCATAGTCTGTGATCTGTGGTAATTACTGCAGTCATTTACAGAAGACTTTGCTCTCTAAGACCTATTAAATCATTACCTGTACTTGAACAGCTTTAGATGGTTTACTTTAGAGAAGCAGTCTGTTTGAAAGAAAAAAAAACTTAATAGCTTTATTACTATGTAAGAGAGTCATCAAAACAGAACCTCTGCACTTGACATGGCCAATTAAGTAACTGAAAAAGGAACAATCACTTTATAACACTTATAAATGCATGATATGATACTTCTAGTCATTTGTAGTTGTTTTCTGCACATTTTGATCACTTAGGACCTTAACTGCTACACAGAAAAGAAATGGTCACCTAAAACAAGTTGAATTTCCAAGTTCTAGTTTTGTTTACTTTTTAAGACCTGTAATTTAGCAAGGAATCATCATCATCAAGTATATTTTGTTTACTATATGAGAAACCCTCAAGAAGAAGCACCAGAGAAGCACACTGAAATGTTTGGAAATATCATTGCTTTCACAGTAGTATTGCAAATTTCATCTTGAGTACTAGTATGCTGTAAGGTTCTAAGTTACAATGTCCTCTCTGTCCCATCCTTCGCCACCCTATACCTCCTTCATTCACATTCCCATTACTTTTAACTATATATAGCTATCTTTTATGCAGTTTTTTTATTTCGAAAGTTAAAAAAATGCTAAAAGCTGGTACCAAGAAAGTCATGGTTTATACTTCACCACATAATGATGTTGTGTTAAAGAAAAAAAAATTCACATTATGTAACATTGCCAGGATATTAGCAGACCACTTCAAGAGGCATGATCTTCTAGGATTTTTATGAGACCTTTATAAACTCCAGTAAGCAGAAAACCATTGAAAGAAAATGTTATTTGACATTTTTGTTGATAAAATATGACCTTATTATGTGGTTACACAATCAGTTGCTGCTCTGGCAACCCAAAAACCTTAAAACCAGTGACAATTTTACTCAGGAATTCAAGTTTTGAAAAATAACACCTACGAATAATGCGCTCTACCAATCTATAATCATTTGTACCTGCTAAAATGTTACAATGCTTTTGTGATTATTTGTTGAGGTACATGTATATGTTAGCATAATAATCATAAATGCAAGAAGAAACAAACTGTCACTCTCTTTCTAGAGGAGCATAATTGATTCAGCATCTCTATATCTAAAAAGATAAAAAAGAAAGAAAGAAAATGCTGCTTTGAAGTGACATATGCTTCTCATCACAGGTTAATCAATGATCTATGATACCCATATCTATATAGATCATTATATTACACTATACATGCTCTTCTCCCTCAAGAACTGAAGGTTCATGTTATCTGACATACCTCAAGGGCATTTCTCCTCAAATAACAGTCTGACTATAAGTATCAGTTTTTCAACACACACACACGTTTGTGGACCATGCTTTTACCTTTTATATTTTTTATATATTCTTTAAAAATACTTTCGTTACCAAACCAATGTAAAATTTGGAAAAATTAATCATACATTTTTTTGTTATCTTTAGCTAAAGGAAATAATCTTTATAATTACATCATACATAAATATGCTGGCTTTAATCTGGCATCTACCATACTATAGTATCATGTCACTCTAGTTTTTCCTATTCAATCATTAATGAGCTGTAGGATAAAACTTCATCCAGCAGCATGAAACATATTGCACAGCATTGTGAGAATATTCTTGAAGATATACTCAAACCTTGTGGATTATGATGCATCATTTCAACCAATTATCAAGCTAATTAATCCACTGGTCCCAACTTTAAATTTAAATGATTCACCCATTTCTATTATATCTCTCTATCATCAATAAAAATAAAAATAATAAATAAATAAATAAAATGTACAGATTCCTAAGATGTCAAAATGTACAGTAAACTACCTTCACAACTCTTACCTGTACCTGACATCTACATGTACTTTGTGAATTGCATGTACAAGTACAAATACTGTTAGCATCATGCATACAAACATAAGATATAGGTCATAATGATTTTCAAATAAGCGTAACTATGTATCAACTCAAATTGCAAGGAAACACGAAGTGATTTAGCAATCTGATCAGCAAAACTATGACTTCTTTCTGTTCAATAAATGACAAAATCTAATAATGCAAACAAACACACATCTAAAATAACAGCAAGAAACCTACGTTCAACCTGCTCATCTGGAGAACTGACCCCTAACAAACACTTCCCCCATACACACACGCCAACCATTAATCAGGTTAACGTCATGTTACCACGGGTTGCAAGTACATTCACAATATATATGTTCTGACTAATAGCATCGACATTCAAATAAGAAAAAAATGTAAATGACAAAAATTGCAAAAAAATGGCATTTATATTGCAATTATATAAGTATGTGCCTGCATGTCTGCCTGCATTTGTTTAACACATTCTGAACAGTTCCCTAAGCTGAAAACAAAAATATTATTTCTCTCCTGTGTGGCAAAACATTGTGGCAATTATAAAAAAACAGACAACTAAGATAACTACAAATCAGTGTATAATAGGTCGAGGATACTACAGTCATATCCAGAGGGCAATTTAGATTTGTAAAACACCCACAGAATTATAAAACCTAATAAGTGTTTAACCCAATAAATGTTTTCAGAGTGCTGCTGTGATGTACTCTTTACCTTTCAATTTAAATATGCCAGTTGTTACATCACAAAGTATAATATTATATCCAGGAAGTTCTTGTTTTGGAAGTTCTTGAGTGTACATCAGTAATAACAGACCTGTACCTGTTGACCTCTCACCTGGCTTTACTTTTACACCTGTAAACAAAAACGTACTGACAGGTAAGTAGTCATTTTTAGCACAAAGGCATCATATGAAAGTACTAGTACATTTCGTATTCTTTTCTTATATACCATTACCATCCCAATGTACCCTGAATGTACGAACATGAAAAAAATATATACATTTGACATGAGAAATATCCCATTATGCTCAGCTGATTAAGTTCAATGTTCCTAGCAAATTCTGTCTAGTAGGCATAAAATTCTGTATTCACACAGATGTATGAAGTACATAACTGTGATGAGGTTTTCAGTCATGGCAATCTCCCCTAACACAATATATTCTTAACTACCAATGGAAATCATCCAAGACAGGGGTACAGCATGACAAAATACAAAACTGGAAAAAGAACAAGAATACACATGTAGTGAACTTTTAAGTGAAAAGGTTGAAAGTTCTATGCTCTGGAAATGCTGACTTAGCAATACAAATGTGACACAAAGCATGTGCTGTTTTACTATAAACAGCAATGAAGACAGAACTTTAAAAATATTACCAGGGAAATATCTCTGAATAAATTCTTTCAGCTTTCATTCTTTGCTGCATCAACTTTCTAGTCTGCCATTATCTCTGACCCCTTCTTCAAATCCTACTAAATCATGTTTGATTTTATTAGTCTTTAAGGTGTCCCTTTAAATCATTTTAAACCATTTCCATAACTGCGAGTGCAATATTTGTTAATAGATTTTGTTAAAAAAAATTTTTTAATAATAAATATTAAAGGTCATTATAAGACCTCACTAAATGTGCCAATTTTTCATAAGTTGTCAGTAAAAACCATAAGGCCAATATTGCTGGTATAATGAGTCTAATTTGATCCTGGCTTTTTTTTTTTTTGGAGGGATTGGCTCAATTGGTTGCTGAGCAGTACCCACTCACATTCTCTTAGCTTTCCTATGATAATCATGGGCAAATTTAGGCCGTCTTCTGGGTCTTCAGGAAGACCGTCAGATTTTAAAGTTTACATCGACGGGTTTCTAATTTTTCTGTCGGAAGACGGTTCAAAATGGTGGATGGAACAATGAAGATAACTTGGAAGCCTGTCAGAAAATATCTCTGGATCCGCTTATGATAATAACGGTCAAGGTCACAAGAGAGTAGGCATCAATTTGACTACTCTCATTGGCTGGCCAACTCATCACACTGTTAGGAAAAAAGTTCCTGTCTAAATGTTCAAATCATGGAATATTGGCAAAGAATATGAAGTCATAAGTGAACCATTAAGTATTCATGGACATTTGGAGTTCATACCACTCCCAATATTTTACATTCACAAAAATGGAACAGCATGCTCATTTCTAAACATATTTTCCTGACAGACCTCCTACTACATTGTACACTAGTAGTAGTTAAGAGCAATATTGACACCTGGTATGCATACAATAAATGTATATATAAATGAACAGATTGGTGATTGCGTATTTCCTAGAAAAGGTCTGAAGAGATGCTATTATAAAGATATAAAATTGCTATGCCATTAATAATTATTTCCACATACCAACTTCACAAAAATTATGAATGCGTTATGCTTCCATCTGTATTGTACCCTTAGGTGTCAGTCAAACCACATTTCATGGTTAACTTTTTCATTTCAAATATACTCAGATATCCATAAGTATCATTACCACATGTTGATAGCTCTAACACAAAGCATCAAACTTATATGTTGTCAAAACGAAAAGTAGGGGCAAATCACTCTCAATATGCTTTCTGTGAAAATAAATTTGGCCACATTTTCTAAACTATTTCACATAATGCCTAATTATGTGAAAAAACACTTCCACATTCATTCATGAATTCTTTCATTCATCCATCCATCTGTCAATCCATTTATTCATTCAGAATAATATATCCAAACATATTTTACAAACTTTTTTTTCCTTTTTTTATTCTTATAACATTCATTCTTATCTCTTCATGTTATGACCCTGGAATTTCATTTACTTTTAATTTTATCTAATATCATAAAACATGCCCAAATAAGCATAATAATAAGCAATTTCAATACTCACTTTTTTCATTTTTGAGACAGATATCATATTCTGTGTCTTCAAATCGAACAAGATCTGGAAGAAAGCCAGACAAATATTTTCAATAAGATCTCGATAAAGGAATCAAATAAACCCCTCCTCCCTACTTTCTCCTCACTATCTCACCTGTAGCTATTCATTTTCAAACAAGCTAAATTGACATGCCCCCATTTTTCACCTTTTGCAGCGCTAGAAGCAGGTAACAACATGTGATCAATTATATATGACACCCAATCTCCTAACCCCAGACAGTGATAAGATATCACAACTTCAAAAAGGTAACAGTGCACCATGACTTCCCCATACCTTCAGTAGCTAAATGACTTAACAAAACAAAGGAAGCAAAAGCTGTTTTACATTCATACCTGAGTTTTAATCAAGACAATTTTTCAATAAGTAAGTTCTGGTTATAAAAGAATATGACTATTTCAGTTACAAAATTAATGAAATAACCATATAATATTAAGTGCATAACTATCATTTTAATTACACGGGGGTGGCTCGTGATGTAATGAGCAGCCACTTGACTTGAACTGGTCAGCAAATAGGGACCAGGTTTTCAGAAATAACACACAACCCTATGGGAAACAATGAGTTTGAATTATTATATTTCATGGCACAACCAATGACGATTCATTTTTATGACACAAAGGATCCTTTATGCATATACAAGTACCCTACCAAATCTATTCAACAATTATGAATTAAGACACTAAAAAAAAGAAAAAAAAAACACTTGAATGTCTCCACTGGTTTGCATCAGAGCAACATTTGACTGCACATCTTGCTGTCTGATAAAGAGTCCAGTCCAATCTACTTATTTTACATTTCAATCTTTTGTTGATACAGTGTTTCTTTTTATCATGCCATCTTGCCCGCACTGGCTTTTGGGCGACTTGCAAATAATCATGTAAATATACACTGCACTCTTTCTCTTCAAGCAATCAAAGCCATGGGGTCACATTCTAAGCACCCATTCATTACCAAGTTTTCACAAGGCCCCACTGCGCATTCAGAATGTTTTTTGTTGTTGTTATTTTCATGAGCTGTTCAAAAGGAATTACTGTCACTGCAAATAATGTTTAGAATTAATGTTAGTTGTATAGAAGTATCATTATAGTTTGAAATTCCGGTCTACAAATCTAAACGCGATATAAACTTTTTTACTATGATACTAGAATCTATATTATCTCTTCATACATAATAAATGACACAACAGACACAAAAGCACATTCTCCTATGGCATATCTGTGTGGCAATGCATGTCATGCATGCTGGCAGTGCGTGTTAAGCACTGCGACAGAAATCCATACAAACACACAATCAAGTCACTTTTCTATATCGACTGTGCACAGCGATAGCTAGACCTCTTTAAGAATGTTTATAACCTCAAGTAGCCTCTTATTCCCTCACGTTAACAGAGACATTGTCATGAGGCATCAAGACATAAGTCTTACCTTTTAAATGCCGCTCCACGCAAAATGAGGGAACTGGGTCATCCCAGGTTGCCCCGATAATGTCGCTGCAATCGGGTCGAGAAATCAGGTCAGTGCGCACGAACCCGCGAAGTTGTGAGTGCAGTTAGGCCAACGCGACAGATAAAACCCTCGAAGGCAGCAGCTGTCTGGTCCTTAGCACCTCTCATTCAACCAGGGATGTAGGTATTCTCCTCAGCCTCTTGAATGCTACCATGAGTTTTAACTAAAATGAATTTAATTAAAACTATTTGGCATCAAGCTCGGCTGTCACTATGAGCTGTTTTAATGAATATGAGGCACATAAAAACCGATCACCAGTAAAATATATGTCACTAGACTACCGGTTCCATAGGCCCAATGCGACAAAAGTATTTAAAATAAACTAATTTAAAAGGATAGCAACCGACTGTTACAATTCGTCTGACATTCAAAATTCCACAACAAAAACATTGTTAACGACAATTTTTGTTGACACAAAGAAACCACCAAAACGGAAACCTTTGCTTACCATAGACATAAATGTATCGGGCAAAAAGAATTATGGTAACGTTATAACATGGAAATATATATTTCCATGGTTATAATAACAAGCACAACATTATCTGATGTTTAATATCAAAACGTTCTGTGTAAGCTGGGGTTAGATCTACATGTAGGCCTAGGCCTACGTAACGACGTAACAGTATTGTTACTTTTTTTTAGAACCGTTTTTGAAACTTTTTTACATCGTTACTATAACGAAACCGTAACGCATTTGTTAATTATAAAAAACATATGTTAAGATACTTCATAGTATTTTACCGCTTCATGGGATAAGCATTCCTAATTCATGATAGAGAGCGACTTCACTTAGGGGAGACCGGGGCTTGTTGGCCCAGTTAAACACCTTTGGTCTTGTACAATATAGAGCCAACTAGGAATGAGTNGTTCATACCTGAGTTTTAATCAAGACAATTTTTCAATAAGTTAGTTCTGGTTATAAAAGAATATGACTATTTCAGTTACAAACTTAATGAAATAACCATATAATATTAAGTGCATAACTATCATTTTAATTACACGGGGGTGGCTCGTGATGTCATGAGCAGCCACTTGACTTGAACTGGTCAGCAAATAGGGACCAGGTTTTCAGAAATAACACACAACCCTATGGGAAACAATGAGTTTGAATTATTATATTTCATGGCACAACCAATGACGACTCATTTTTATGACACAAAGGATCCTTTATGCATATACAAGTACCCTACCAAATCTATTCAACAATTAAGACACTAAAGAAGGAAAAAAAAAAACACTTGAATGTCTCCACTGCCTTGCATCAGAGCAACATTTGACTGCACATCTTGCTGTCTGATAAAGAGTCCAGTCCAATCTACTTATTTTACATTTCAATCTTTTGTTGATACAGTGTTTCTTTTTATCATGCCATCTTGCCCGCACTGGCTTTTGGGCGACTTAACAAATAATCATGAATAGGGCAGTACAATGTAAATATACACTGCACTCTTTCTTTTCAAGCAATCAAAGCCATGGGGTCACATTCTAAGCACCCATTCATTACCAAGTTTTCACAAGGCCCCACTGCGCAGAATGTTTTTTGTTGTTGTTATTTTCATGAACTGTTCAAAAGGAATTACTGTCAGTGCAAATAATGTTTAGAATTAATGTTAGTTGTATAGAAGTATCATTATAGTTTGAAATTCCGGTCTACAAATCTAAACGCGATATAAACTTTTTTACTATGACACTAGAATCTATATTATCTCTTCATACATAATAAATGACACAACAGACACAAAAGCACATTCTCACTATGGCATATCTGTGTGGCAATGCATGTCATGCATGCTGGCAGTGCGTGTTAAGCACTGCGACAGAAATCCATACAAACACACAATCATGTCACTTTTCTATACTGACTGTGCACAGCGATAGCTAGACCTCTTTAAGAATGTTTATAACTTCAAGCAGCCTCTTATTCCCTCACATTAACAAAGACATTGTTATGAAGCATCAAGACATAAGTCATACCTTTTAAATGCCGCTCCACGCAAAATGAGGGAACTGGGTCATCCCAGGTTGCCCCGATAATGTCGCTGCAATCGGGTCGAGAAATCAGGTCAGTGCGCACGAACCCGCGAACTTGTGAGTACAGTTAGGCCAACGCGACAGATAAAATCCTCGAAGGCAGCAGCTGTCTGGTCCTTAGCACCTCTCATTCAAACAGGGAAGTAGATATTCCCCTCAGCCTCTTGAATGCTACCATGAGTTTTAACTAAAATGAATTTGATTATTTGGCATCAAGCTCGGCTGTCACTATGAGCTGTTTTAATGAATATGACTCATTATGAGGCACATAAAAACCGATCACCAGTAAAATATATGTCACTAGACTACCGGTTCCATAGGCCCAATGCGACAAAAGTATTTAAAATAAACTAATTTAAAAGGATAGCAACCGACTGTTACAATTCGTCTGACATTCAAAATTCCACAACAAAAACATTGTTAACGACAATTTTTGTTGACACAAAGAAACCACCAAAACGGAAACCTTTGCTTACCATAGACATAAATGTATCGGGCAAAAAGAATTATGGTAACGTTATAACATGGAAATATATATTTCCATGGTTATAGGCCTAATAACAAGCACAACATTATCTGATGTTTAATATCAAAACGTTCTGTGTAAGCTGGGGTTAGATCTACATGTACAGGTAGGCCTAGGCCTACGTAACGTTAACGACGTAACAGTATTGTTACTTTTTTTAGAACCGTTTTTGAAACTTTTTTACATCGTTACTATAACGAAACCGTAACGCATTTGTTAATTATAAAAACATATGTTAAGATACTTCATAGTATTTTACCGCTTCATGGGATAAGCATTCCTAATTCATGATAGAGAGCGACTTCACTTAGGGGAGACCGGGGCTTGTTGGCCCAGTTAGACACCTTTGGCCTTGTACAATATAGAGCCAACTAGGAATGAGTTAGAGTAACAAAACCGGTTTCAAAGTAAGCCCCATGAACTAAGCTACGTATGCAACGTCATTATTTTTCAGATATAATGCCAGATGGCTCACAATTTGACAAAAAACGCAGTTGATGTCAGGGGGGCCCAACTTGCCCCTCCACTGGGCAAGTTGGCCCCCTATTCCAAAATGAAGTAAATATCCCATTTAAACGCCTTGAAATACATTTTTAATTTATTAAATTGATTTTTGAGAGTCTTTGATTAATAAATAGTTCAAATGATTTATTGAGGTTTCCGGACGTCACGTTGTAGGCGGGGGGGAGGGGGGGGGGGGGGCTTTGGGTTGCAAGAACCACTACTTTTAATAAAAATTTGTTTTGTTTTA